ACCGACTGGCTGCCTACATGGCTGGGGAAGGACACAGGTTGACCCTGTAAATGACCGGTCATGGGTGGCCTGGGCTCTGAGCTTTCTGAGCAGAAGCAGCCAGTTCTGTCCCCTCGGACCCAGGTGGGGGCTAACACCTGGGGTAGGTTGTGGGAGTCAGGGCTCAGCCCAGCCGCTGCCCCGCCGAGGGCCTCAGGGTATAGGGGCTGGGGCTGCAGGGGACGGAACCAGCAGGACCTGGGGGATGGCCGTCTCTCCAACCTGGACGACACGGGTGAGCGGTGCACCCCGACACAGCGGAACAGGTGCCTGGCCCGGGGCTGCTGACGCGGAAGGAGAGTCCGAGCAGCTGCCGGCACCGCAGGGTGAGCCAGAGTTCCGTAAGGACACCCTCCCCACGTGGTTAGGGACCCTTACAGGCTCACCCTGTTCCTGTCCTGCTTCTCAACCCGTCGCCAAAAGGGACGTTTAGGTCCTAAATATTTTCGTGGAAGTTTGTCTTCAGACTTATGCTGAAGTCGTGAAAGTGAACACAGAGCTAAGAGGCTGATGTTTTTTCCTGAAGATATTTTCATTATTTGATAAGGATTTAAATGGATTTTAACTACCTCCCCAGATAGTTCTTCTTAAATGTTTTAATTTTAAGACCTTCCTGGCTCAATACATTATATGGTGCATAATCAGGTTGTATATTCTCTCTCCGAACTAGGCCTGAATAATAGGAAGATGGGATTATACTAATTCCTCTGCGGGGAGATTAAATGCAGCGGACGGGGCGGGGCCGGCCTGCTCCCAGCTCCAGCTCCAGCTGGCTGGGCCCGACTCTCCCTCCCCGCACCTGCCATCTCCCGACCTCCCCCCACCTTTCTGCCCCACAGGCCCAGGTTGGTTGCGCCCGGGGCGGCCCAGAGCCCAGGTCCTCTCTCTGGGCTCAGGATGCCATGCGCGTGGCAGCCATCAAGTCTGTGCCGTGGCAGCCACTGCTCACGCGCCCTGCGCGCCCTCAGCCCCCTTGGTATGGGAAGGGCTCTGTGGTCACAGAGGCCAGCCCAGGCTCACCCGCGGCGGCCAGACTCTCTGACCCCACAGTCTGTGTTTTAAACCACGCTGAGCATTGTCCAGCCCTGGGGTCAGGTGTGCGTTACTCTGCGGGCCTGGGCAAGTGTCTTCTGCTATCTGAGCCCCAGAAGGCGTAGACGGGGACTCCTGAAGGCCCTGGGCTCTGGAGGAGACAGGGGCATGTGGGGGGCACTGAGCTGGGAGCCTGTCCTGGCTTAACCTCCCAGCGTGACTGCGATGGGGCCTGGCTGAGCGGTGGTGGGATGCCAGGGTGCTCGAGGCCACCTGCCTGTGCTCCAGTCCCAGCCCAATTGCTCACTCCCTCTCTTTGACTCAGTCTGTCTGTCTGTGAAATGGGGCAATCATCTTGACTGCCCTGTGGGTTCCTATGGCAATCAGAGGATTAGCAGCCTGAAGCAGCAGGGAGCTATGTGGCCAAGGTCCACGATGGGGACATCTGAGCTGCCACTGTCACCTTGGGATCACCCTAGGTCAGCACGTCCACCTCACCACTCTGCCTTCTCTGCACTGGAGGGCAAGGTGCGTCTCTCCATTTCTGCCCCTGGAACAGACCAGGCTGTGGCCTTGGTGGGACTCAGTGTCTGCTGTGTCCAATTGCCACGTGGACCCTGCTGTTCTGCTCCCCACAGCTAAAGATGAGGGGCAGCGGCAGAGGACTCAGCAGCGGTGACCCCTCTGGACAAAGGATGCCCCAGGCTTTGCTGACTTGCCTCCCGGGCCACCAGCACCAGACCGACCTCGGAAGGGTGGGTCTCCTGAGCCAGCTGGGGGACAGTTCCCTACAACCACTGCGCGGAGGCCGCCCATGGGGGAGGGGACTGCATTCTGCTTCCCGGGGCTGGCGGTGTGGACGCGGTTGAATCGTTGGGCCTTTATGAGCCATTCCATCTCTAAAATATGGTGTAAGTTGCAAAGTGATGATGCCTCTGGCAAGAAATATTTATTATGTGTAGGACCATAATAAATATTGCTTTTATTTCCTAAATATAACCTAAAAATCCTGAATGTTTTGTGGGCCCCTTTTATGTCTTCCCATTACGGCCCCGGTCCAGTGATTTCGCCAAAATTTAGTGGCAGTGAACTGAGCTTCGGTGATGCGCTCCCCAACCCCGGCAGCTGTCAGCACACTCCATCACCACTGTCCCTGTCCGGGAGGGACCCCGCTCTGACCGCAACCATGGGACATGCAAGTGCCTCAAACCCAGGGAATGGCCACTTCATGCAACACGTTGATTTCTGCACTTGGAACCCCGATTAGGTCAGGGTTCCTCTTTTCACGTCCTTGCTGACAGCCATCGTATGAAAGACCAGGTGAGTGTGCAAATGCACTTGGATCCAGAGAGCGTCTCCGTCGGCCATCTGCGCCACAAAGGCTGGAGGTGTAGATTTCCGACTGTGTTGGTGTGTGTGTTGCAGAGGTGAGGAATTTGGAAGAACAATAAAAATGATTCATTCCTCGGCCCACTTTGCCAGAAGGTGACTCTTGTAAAGAGCACATGGAACACCCACGTTTCGAGACCTCGCAGGCAGAATCAGGGGACTACAGTGGAGACGTCCATCTCGGGTGGATGCAGAGATGAGCCAAGGACCAACGCCTGCTGAAGCCAGCGCCATGCCCATTCTGCAAATGTGGAAACCATTCTGTCCTCTCCTGTGAGTGGTCTCCTTGTTCGTCTTCATGTCCCTGAATCTGTGTCCTAGAGCTGTAGGTCAGCTCCCAAAGGATGGTCCACCCTGGGCCAGGATGGGCCCCAGGAAGACGACTCACAGAAAAGAGCTCATAGAACGGACGCAGACATTCGGATGCTCCTGAGGGGAGGGGCTGTCTGAGGAGGGGATGGTTTGGAGCCACACTTGTGTACCAGGCACCGCCATGGGCCCCTGGCATACACTTGTGCACACACCACACACACATGTGCACATACCACACACACATCAGTCCTGGCTCATCGGCATTTTGCTCAGCACCCTTCAGTTCTGGGAGCTCACTGTTGGGCGCTGGACACATCGAGGGGATGTTTCCTTCATAATCCAACATAACTCTTCTGAGATGGGAACGTTCGGAATGTCTGCTCACTGCAACCGGCCAACTCGACCTCCCTCTGCCGCCCTCAGACAACCTGTCCCCTTGTGGTTGCAGTAGATGAGGTCAGACCCCAGGTACAGGACAGAGGACAGGACATGGAGGACAAAGTCCTATTGGCCGGGGCGTGTCTCCAGTGAGCCCCTTTCCTGTAGATAGCTATGTCACAGGGGTCACCAGAGTTCCTCTGCGGCTCCCCTGCATCCCCCCCCCACCCCCGCCGAGGCCTGGGTGGCCAGCAGCCTCTCCTTCCTCGCCTCGCCCCGGGGTGGGTCGGGCAGAATGCCCCTAAGGGCACAGGAGGTTTTCCCAGCTCTGGGGCAGCTCCACCGTGCGTCCCTGCCACTTGCTGAGCAGCCTTCTCCAGCAAGGTCCGGATCTCCACCCTGGACGGGAGGCACTTTCTGCAGATGCTTCTCTGAAGTGGCTGCTCCTGTGTCAGTTATCGCTACGTCTCCAGCCTCCTCCTCACTTACCAGCCTCACTGATCCCTTACAGTTAGTAACCCTTCCCACGACTGTCCCTGCTCAGATCCCAGGGTGGCCCCCGGAGCCCGATCAGACCTGGCTGATCAGAGCAGGGTCCCCAGAGGCTGCCTCCGCAGCACTGACGCCCTAGATGCCGATGGCCCCAGACCCACCACAGTCCCTGCATAGAGAGTGACCTGTGAACAGGCCTGGCATTAAGACCAGGGTATACCCCAATAGAGAGAATCCCACCTTGTCCACTTACATCCTAATATGTGTGGCAAAAAGTGTTCTCCTGGGGATTGACTGAGGAGAGGCAGGCGAGGTGTGTCACTATGTACGAGGCACAAAGACAGTGTGTCCGAATAGATACTCCGTCAGCCTTGAAGTTGCTGAAGGGGTGCTCAGTCACTTAAAGAACACAGAGTCATCTGGGGTTTTATCAGACATTATCCTGCCCAGGACGAGTAAGTTGGAAAGTAAGATTCTTGTTTGCGTAGGACTTAACGTAGCCTGAATATGCAATCGTCAATGTTGCTGTGAATTTTTCAAAATAGAGAATCTTCAGTGTAGCATGATTTTGCAGCCGAAGGTTGTGCTGGAAGTTATAGCCACGAAAACACACTGGTTTAAAATATTTATTAATTAAAAACAATTTTTTAGATTTTTTTTATACAAAGATGATGAGAAAAGTCTCATGCACACTCTGGGCATACAATAAAAATAACTCAAATATTATCTGATGGTCTCGTACAAAATAATTCTTCTTCAGTAGGACCCCCGACAGACAGTAAGTGCAGCCTCCTCTCCAGGCCCGATGTCCCAGGGGTACGAGGTGATCACCTAGGACACCAGGGGTGAGCCACCATCCACGTGTCCTGATGTTCACAGATGTCACTATGAGTAATGATAAAGTACCCTATTGCTACTACGCAGAGAACTACCCGAGACGCGAGGACACTTGAGTGAGGAACCCCCAACACCAGGAATTCCTGGGGAACCGCAGTAACTCACAAAGGTTTTCAGAAAAGTTTCAGACGATCGGCTCAACTCATGAAAGCACTCTGAGATGGTTTCAGAGGGTGCTTCCTCCGAGGCACACACCTGCCGTGGGTTTATCATTTGTGTATGTTACAAGTCATTTGCATAATTCAAACAGCGAAGGGATCGACGTGTCATGGCCATTAGAAATGCATCAAACTCTGCACGTTGTACAAAAGAGCTTCAATATGAAACAGTAATCCTCTGAGAACCGAGCCTCGGGCCGGGGAGCCCCGCAGCTGCGCAGACGCGCCCCGGCCCCCCGCGGCCCCCCGCGGCCCCCCGCGGCCCCCTGCCCGCCCCTCTGTCTTATTGTGTTCTTCACACACTCATCTCATTTTCCGCAGCCTGAGTCTGTTCTCCTTGTCGCGTTTCTTCAGAATAAGTATGAACTGGTTGAAAAAGTGCTCTTGGTCCTTCCTTTTTTGAACGAGTCGGAACCTCTGGTCCCGGCCATACTTCTCCGCAAACTCCTTGAATGTGGTCCTGAAACACAAGAGGTTTCTGAGCCCCTGGCTGAGCGCGAGTTCTGTGCTCCGGCAGCAGAGCCGAGGGGGGTGGGGGGCTCCTCCAGACCCAGCAGCCGCTGCAGGGCCAGGGCGCGGGAGGGAGCGCGGGCTCTTGGGGGGGGGCGGTCGACGGGCTGGGGGGAGCAGTCTGGGCCTCTAACACCTGCTCCACCTCCTCCCCACGCTGGGCTACTCTCGCTGGGGCCGCAGGGTCCTGACCCAACTCCACTTGCAGCACCTAATGGGCTCTAGGAAGGAGCCTGGCCTCCCCGGCCTCTTCGGCCTCCTCTGTCCACCTGCCCCGGTCACTGCTCCGGCCACACGGGTCTTCTTCCGTCCCTCGCTCTCACCAGTCATCTCCCTGCCTTGGGGTTCGCATACACCGTTCCCTCTGCCTGACACCCTCCCCTTATTCCTTCATCCGTCACTTAAGCCCACTCGTCGCTAGACGGCAGGACCACCATGTCCTCGTCAGGACATTCTCCCTGTCCAGAGGGCCAGAGGGCTGCGCATGGCCCTTGCGTGGCCCTCGTCAAGGTGGTGACCCCCATAAGCCTCAATAATGTGGTTTTGCTCGACTCTTCCTCACGGGAATGGAAACACCAGTATCTGCTTTGTTCTCCACTGAACGTCCTGAATGTGTAGCCCGTGGCCAGCAGGTAAGAGGCACCCAAATAGTGAGGGACTTAGTCCATAACTGTCAGGCCAGGGGGGGCGTACCCCTGCAGGGACGTGTGGAAACTTCACCAGCGCTGGGTCCCCGGGACTTTCCCTCCTTCTCCAGGAGTGAACCTGAAGTTCAGGAGTAGCGACAGCTAAGAGCGCCCCGTCCCCAAGCCCTGTGTGCAGGTGTTTCAGAACTGCCTCCCTCCGGTGCCCTGGGGGGGGGGGGGGCTGGCTGCTAGGGTGTCCAGGTACAGGGAAATGCTCAGGCTTTGTCCAGGGGCACCCCCAGCCCCTCCCACTCCTGGTGTACTTCTCTCCATACCTGGGCGACACTTTAGATTCCTCTAGAAGTTTTTTGAATTCTTCTTTGGCTAGCAGCAATTTACTTTTCTTTTCCTTGTATTCTTCTTTTATCCTCGTCTTAACAAACTGTTCAAATATCTGGAAACACACACACAAGAGGAAAGTGTTAGGAGGCTGCGTATCAGAAATGGAAGCGTGTGCTTCAAACAACCACACAAAACCCAGCAAGAATGGGTGCTAAGCCTTTCTTTCTTTCTTTCTTTCTTTCTTTCTTTCTTTCTTTCTTTCTTTCTTTCTTTCTTTCTCTCTTTCTTTCTCTCTTTCTTTCTTTCTCTCTCTCTTTCTTTCTTGCTTTCTCTCTTTCTTTCTTGCTTTCTCTCTTGCTTTCTTGCTTTCTTGCTTTCTTTTTTTCTTTCTTTCTTGTACGTGCCCCTAGCAGGAACCGAACCCGGGACTCTCTGGTCCGCAGGCCGATGCTCCAACCGCTGAGCCAAACCGGCCAGGGCTGTGGTAAGCCTTTCTCTTCACAGGGCTGGAGCTATGAGCTGCTGCCCATGGCAGCCTGGGTGCCCGGGAGGCCAGCGGGCAGCCCGGCAGGCACCGTCCCCCCAGCACTGAGTCGGCCTGGCGGCTGCTGCTGGGAAGTTCAGGCAGCGTGAAGCCCAGCGCCCAGGCCTCCGTGCCTCCTACCTCGGGACTCTGAGAGCAGGTCCGCAGCCACGTCTCGCCGACTGGAACATCATGGCCAGTGGTACCACTAACACGTAGCAGTAGTTTGTTCTAGTCAGTTCTCACAGCAACGTCATTGTGTCTGAGTCAGCCCAGCATCTGATTCCACACACTCTGGTCTCCAGAAAGACTCACTTGTGAATGTGGGGCTCATGGGACTAGATTATTCCCGCCTAGGGGTGTCACAGAGCCACCAGGTTGCTGGTGTGGGTCGTCGATGTGCAAACGCCCAAGAGGAAACCGACCCATTTGACAAGCGGTGGGTTTGGAAGCCAACCCTCAGAACCTGCTCCTTATTGTGAAGGACGTGGACACGCTGGTGGGCAAATCCCTGCATGACTCTGGGACCCTGGCGGCTGACAGCAACGTGACGCCTTCGTGGGGCAGCCTCCGGAATGACCCTCGTTGTCCTAATACCAGGAACATGGTCATCACAGACTCTGAAGTCGAAGCGGAGGAACAGAGCGGTTTTGTTTCTCATGCTCTCCAAGCCTCAAGGACATCAAAAGGGACAGAAGCTGGAGCTCATGTGAAGGTGTTGCAAACACAAGTAAAAAGATGAATAAAAATCCCATGTGTGACCCTATTAGGTCAATAAAGAGCAATTCTGTGCCAGCCCAACCAGTGGCCCTGGCGGACGCGGGACTCTGACATGGGCGCTCAGGGAGACTCAAGGTCTTGCCAAGGGGATGGAGATGGGGTCAAGGGGACAGGACGAGACCGAGGGGCTCTGAGGGTTTGTCTCCGGTTTCAGAGTTCGTCTGTCCTAGCCAGCCTCCAGAGCAGGGGTTCTCAATCTGGGGGTCGTGACCCCTTTGGGGGTCAAACCACCCTTTCACAGGGGTCGTCTAAGACCATCGGAAAACACATATTTCCAATGGCGATTCTTAACAGCAGCAAAATTACAGTGATGAAGTAGCAACAAAAATAATTGTACGGTTGGGGGTCACCACAACATGAGGAGCTGTATGAAAGGGTCGCGGCATCAGGAAGGCTGAGAACCATGCCCTAGAGGATTAGAAACACAGAATGCTGGGTGCTTCCTGAAGGCTCAGCAGTGAAATCAATTATTCATGAATAGGACGGAAACGGAGAACACGTGCTTGTGCGTTTCAGTCAGAATGTGATTGCTCATTTCACCTTCAAGGCAAATGGTGATGCGAGCCCTCCAGTTGTCTTATAATTTAACTCATCCAGAAGGTGAAGGCAGGGTTACTATCCAAACAGAAGCATGTGGCTCTGTTGTTAGTTGGAGTTTTGCTCTATTAATTTTAAATCTGGAGAGAGACCCTGGCCAGCTGCGGGGTCAGAGCTGGCCAGAAAGATCTGCTTCTCTCTCTGCCCAAAACCATTTATCCATCTAATCAGGTTTTTCTCTTTCCTCTTCCTTTGCTCCGTTGCTTTATTTATGTAGCTGTAATTCAATGTCACAGGTTTTGTCCCTCTTTAACAAATTATACCGGTTTTATTCAACGCAGGGCATGACTTTTCGAAAGAGACACTATCGGCTCTCGTCTCAATATGGCATGTTCTAGAGCAACAAGACGAAACACCATGTGTTACCACAGAAACGGGTCTGATTGCAGGCCCTGACCCCCGCCCTCTGTCTAGGCTCACCCCTTCCCCCAGGAGCCTTAGGGTTCGCCGGGAGCACACTGTTGACACGAAGCCCCTTACAGATTCTGTTTGGATGCTTCCATTCGTAAATGGGGCTGTTTCCTGAATGGGGCCCAACTACCCTTTCCCTCCTCAGTTCCACTCTTCTTACACTCTACCGCCTCCCCCCTTGGGTGTGGCAGTTTCTCCCAAAGGCCAGAATGTACCATCTGAGGACCCTGGTGCCGAGAGCAGCAGCCACCAGCTCCGTCCCTTCCTCCTCGGGCCTCGGGACCAAGCTCCGGTCTGCAGATGGGCGGGAGGCTGGCTCTGAGTGGCTTCACAGGGGTGACAGGAGACTGTCCCCAAGCAATGGATTCCAGTGTGAGTTGACCTTCTAGTCGAATCTGTCTCCAGAGCGCACCCCAGCCAGGGGGACCAGCCCCGTCCCAGGCAGCACCTGCCCTCTCTGACCTCCGCTGGGGAAGTCCAGCTGCTCCAAACTCCTGAGGTTAGTTGGGGATGGGCTTGTCACCAGACCTCAGGAGGGCAGGGGACTCCGCCCCAGCCAGGATCCCGCTGAGATCAGCAAAGAGATGGAGCTCCCGGCGATACCGGCCATTCTGAGAGATGACTTACAGGTCGAAGCATCAACTGGGCTTTTCTTTGAAGGTTGAGGGGATCTTATTTCTTCAACTTCCTTTAAAAGAGCTGAGAGCTGCTGGAAAGTCCACGAACCGGAGAGCACAGCGTTGACCACAACAGACAGGTGGGTGGACGCACGCTCCGCTTCCAGCGCGCAGGGACCAGTCACTCCGTGGTCCCGACGACGGCAGGAAGGCTCGTCACAGCCAGACGCAGGCCCTCGCTGCGTGTTCTCACAGCTGAGTGCAACTCGGCGGTGTTCAATATTTAGACAAAAGGGTGAGCCAGTGATCAAAGCCTTCCATTTTCCTCCACCATAGAAAAAAACACGCAATGTTCAGCTCACACCGAGGCTCTGCCTGGTTGGCTGCACCGACACCATGGTGGCGTCTAGCTAAAGGAAGTTCGTGAATTGATGACAACGTTGAAATGAACGGTGTGCTTTCCGTCCGTCTGGCCCAGGCTCTCCCGACTGCTGTCTGAGGCTCAGATGGTCACCGTGAGGCCGTGGCCACAACCCCTCCAGGTGACTCTCCTGGCTCCGCTGTTTCCAGTGGTTTCCCCCGAGGACCCACTTTTCGTCTGAACTCAAAGGGCCGAGGGAGGGACAGGAAGAGAAGACACAGAAATCCGGATCCTTCCAGAATGTATCTCAAGGCCCTTCTCGAATGTGCTCCAGGGACCAGCAGATCCCAGCTGGGCTGTGTAACTTCTTTCTCGTGCCGTTGGTCCAGTTAGCGCAGCCTGTCCCTCTGTCTGTCTGCTCATCCGAGAAACGGCACGGGCTCCATGACCCAGTGTGCGAACAAGCCGGGCCCCGTCCGGCCTCTCTTTAAACAGTGCTCTAGGCAAGCTGCCTGTGATTCAGCCCTGGCTTTTGTGGGGACATCTATCATTACTCCAGTGTCCCCTGGGTCCCCACCTGTCCGCTGTTAGTACAGACCTTAGGTCTTTGTAACCCGGTCATCCGGGACGTGCTCACTAGCAGTGATCAGGATCACTTCCTCGACACCCATAACACACTGTCCACAAACTCCGGGGCTCGGACACCCGTCTACACCTCCCCCAGGACGACAGGCATCTGTCCCCGGCCGTCCCCCCACGCTGTCCCCAGGCCTTACCACCCATTACCTGTTTCCGCTCTTCAGAGTTTAGCAGCAGATAGCGGGGGTCAAACACCACCTTGTGCAATTCTTTCTCCCAGGTAGAAAACGCTGACACCTGAAGGGAGACATTCAACAGAGCTGCGTTTAGCACCAGCGTGAACCTGGAGCCCGCGGACACGGTCACCGGCGAAGGGCAGCGTCCGGGTCCCCAGGTCCGGGATGTGGTGCTGCCTAAGAGTGTTGGACGAGTCAGACCTGTAAGAGAGCCACTCTGAGGGCACTGGGACATTTCACATCTACGCTCGTGACACCATTTCTTCCTGGGACGTCCGGGGCCTTGCGCTCGGACCTGAAGCTCCGTTACGCGTAGGGAGCTGTGACATTCTGGATCGCCACGGCTTGGAGGAGAAATGGCACCTGTGAGAATTTCCACAGCCCCTAGCCCAGGGCCACACCCTGCAGAGAACCTGAGTATAATTTTAGTTGATTTTTAATTCGCACATATACCTTTTTGAGGTACGTTTTTTGTTTTTTTTATCCTCACCCAAGGACATTTTTTCATTTTTTGTACAGATAGAGTGGGAGGGAGAGAGAGGAAGAGAGAGAGAGAGAAACATCGATGTGAAAGGAACACATCGAGTGGCTGCCACCCGCACGACCAACCAGGGCCGGGGACAAACTGCAACCGAGGTACATGTCCTTAGCGGGAACCGAACCCGGGTCTCTCCGGACCGCAGGCCGACGCTCTATCCGCTGAGCCAAACCGGCCAGGGCTTGAGGTAAGTTTTTAAAAAAACAAAACGATTTTATTTCGCAACGTCACAAGCACATGACAAAGTGAGCATGTGCCCCGCACCTAGTTCCCAGTGGCAGCCTCTTCATGTCACCTGGGTTTTCCTACACGATTACTAATAAATCCACATTTATTCGGGTGTGTTTAGCGTTTGCCTAATTCTTCTTTTCTGCCCCAGGATCCCACCCAGGACACCATGTGACATTCAGTCTCATGTCTCCTGAGGCTCCTCTGGGCTGTGACAGTTTCTCAGACATCCCCTGTTATCACGACCCGAGCAGTGTTGAAGACGGTGGTAAGGGATTTTGTAAACTGCCCATCTGCTGGGATTAGTCTTCGCTTTTCTCACGGTTAGACTGGGTCATGGGTTGGGGGAGGAAAACCACTGGGTAAAGTGGCATTTTCTTTTTTATTGAAAAAAAATTTTTTTTTCCCCTTATTGATTTTAGAGAGAGAGGAAGGGAGAGGGAGAGAGAGTTAGAAACACTGATGAGAGAGAACATCGATTGGCCGCCTCCTGCATGCCCCCCACTGGGGATGTGGTCCACAACCTGGGCACGTGTCCTGACCGGGAATCAAACCAGTGATCTTGGGGCGCGGGTCGTCGCTCAACCACTGAGCCACACCGGCCAGACTACAGTGGCATTTTCATCACATCCTATCAAGGGTGTGTGCTGTTGACTGAGCACTTCGATGGCAACCTTGTGTCCCGGCTGAGGTCCTCGTCTACACATTTATTCTTTTCCCCTTTCCCACCTGTACTCGTTGAGGGGGCCGGGACTGTACCCACAATTAGGGCTCCGCCTCTCGAGAGGGGAGTGTCTAGAGAAGTCATCGACAATTCTTCTGGGCGGGCACCTGTCCATCTCCCACATTCCCTTATTTATATCAGTGCTGACTCATGGGTATTTATTTCCAATCCAATCAGATAACTCAGCTGTGGCCACTAGACTTCCTCTGATTGGTCTCTGTGTCCCTTTGTCAGACCCTCGTCATTCCCGTTCTCGGGGTGGGGGCACGTCCTTGTTTTCTGTCCATTCAGGAGGCTCCCAGCTCCTCTTGCGCATCTCCCGCCTGAGCCCGGGAAGCAGCCCGTTCCCCAGGAAGCCCTGCTCCTCCTACTGGACGAGTCAGAAACCAGGGCCTGGGTGCTGGTGTGCCCAGGGCTGCAGGAATGCTGTTGCTTCTAGAAGTTCTCAGCTGATAGAGCCATGAAATGTTCAAGTCATTTAAGAAGTATGGCCAGGCCGGTGTGGCTCGGTGGTGGAGCGTTGACCCTGCACTAAGAGGTCGCCGGTTCGATGCCCGGTCAGGGCCCATGCCCAGGTTGTGGGCCCGATCCCCAGTGGGGGGCATGCAGGAGCCGGCCAATCGATGTTCTCTCTCATCAGTGTTTCTATCTCTCTCTCTCTCTTCCTCTCTCTCTAAAATCAATAAAGACAAAATATATATTTTTAAAAAGTATGCATTCATTTAAAAACATTGACCGAATACTGATTATGCCTTACACCCCATGATGGGAGCTGAGGATTTAGAGAAAATAAGCCAAGGCCCAGCACCAGGAAGCCCGTGGTCTGGGGCAAGACAGGTAAGCGAAGGAAAGTCCTCCTGAGCGGCACTGGTGCCCTTGCCGAGACCCACACAGGGCTCCGGGGACACAGAGGGAGCCTCTCCGTCAGCCTGGGGAGGGCTTTCCTGGAGTGGTGAAGACATCTGGCTGGTGGAGGGGACGGGGGCCGCGTGGCGCACAGGCTGGGGCTCGGGAGCTGAGCGGATGCGGATTGCGAGGAGCTGAGGGTGGCAGGGTGCAACCCTATCAGGGCTCGGAAGAGGCAGGAGAGACCGAGCAGGCAGGCAGGACACTCAGGGTAGACTTAGGAACACGGACCTCGTGTCCAGAGCCACGTGGCGTCTGCGTCAGGAAGGCCCCTGGGGATCTGGGCAGGGGGTGAGTTCCTGGGCACCAGGGGGCAGGAAGCTGGCGGTTTAAACAAAACCCCGTTCACGTTCGTACTTGGAACAGGTTGAACTCCTCCTGGTAGAGATGCCGCATCAATAAACATGTGCTTTGCTGGGCACATCATAACATAAGTTGTTTTATTTGACAATCTCTATCTTTAATATTACAATTACAATCAAAGCCTTTTTAAAAATATTCATGAGTTCTTTTATTAGCAGGATGAACCAGCTCCCCCTGGGCGTTTTCTTCAATGGGCTGAGAACAGGGTAAAACATTGACCATCTCAGGGGTCAGGGTGGGGACCCTGGGAACGTGTCAGGCAGAATGAGTCCACTGCCCGCGAGCGAGGACGCCGACCCTGCGAGCCAGGACGCCGACCCCGTGAGCCAGGATGCCGACCCCGCGAGCCAGGACGCCGACCCCGCGAGCCAGGACGCCGACCCCGCGAGCAGCAGGGCGGTGCCGGAGGGAAGATGTGGCCCACCACACTTCTCTTCATCTGATGGGCATGTGTCTGTCCTGCAGGGACCTGTGAACACCCAGAGGACCCCAGCTCTGCAGAGACTCGGTGTCACACATAACTAACTCCCCCAGTTGGTTGAGACCCTTTGGAGTTCTCGATGCGTAATAAAATATATTGTTTAAAAATTAACAGCATATCATCCTTGCCTCCAACGGAATTTACAATCTGTGAAGAGGTGAGTTGAGCCATCTCGACAATGACTGTAACTTAGGGTGATAAAACAGACGTTGTCATCGCCACTGGGCGGCCATGCTAACCAGTGCCACCGAAGGGCGGGTGCAGTGGAGAGAGGGGAGGCAGGCGTAGGGCCCGGGCCGGAGGTGGGACTCAGACAGGGGCGAAGCAGGTGGGCACAGCCTGTCTGTGCCGCAGGGCTGTTCCAGAACACGGGCTCCTGGTGATTGGCTCTGACCAGCCCTGTGATCGCCCTAACAAAAGCTCCGTCCCTGGGCCTGTGTCCTCACATGTTGGACAGTAAGTTCCTCCCGTGGGCAGGAAGCGAGCTCTCCCGGGGGGCTGTTCTCAGCCCGAGGGGCCCCCGGTTCTCCCCTCCACGGTAGAGCGCTGTCTCCTTTGCCATGTGACCATGTCCTGGTGATTCGCCACCCTGTTCACAGGCCCCGCCCACACTGTTCAGGAGCCTGCACCCAGGGGGGGGTCTTGGGGCCTCGGAAGAATTGTGCCCACGCAGCAGGTCCCTAGACCAATGCCGTTGTCGGGAACCTCCTGTTATCCCCGTCGCCGATCTCCATCCCGTCTCAGCGTGGCTCCTTCACTCCGCGCATTTGGCCCTTGAACAGCGAGCGGAAGTCCTCAGGCAGTTTCAGACCCTCCCTGCGGGCGCCCAGTCTCCCCGGCAGCCTGACTGTGTGATGCCGACTCCGTCCCCTCTGGAACCTGTTCTGTGAGCATCCTGTCAGCTCCGGACCACCAGCAACTGTCATTCCAGAAACGTCAGGGTGACTGGTGCTGCCTGTCCCGGCGGGAGCCGTCTGTTGTCACCGTGGTGGAACAGAGTTGCTGCCCCTCGCGCTCACACGGTCTTCATTTAACCCGCGATGGTGGTCGTCCTCTGCCCGGGCAGTCATGGGATGTGACCACCAGCACTGTGTGCTGCGCTGGCCGGCATGTCCTCGTCCCCTACAGTGTCCACCTGGTGACGGTCCTCTGACCGTCTCCATGTCTGCGTCGGTCTGTTCCAGTGGAGACCCCAGGGGTGGCATCCAGAGCATGGCACAGAGATGGAGCGGCAGGGGACACAGGTCAGGGCCCACTTCCCGCTGACCGGTGCTTCTGTCAGCAGTGGGAAACCGTGCCAGCCGGCCCCCAGGCAGGGTCGGAGCCCACTGCAGTGGCTGGCTGGCGTCCCTGTGTGGCACCGTCTGCATCTGCGACGTCACTGCTAAAATGATGACAGGCAGCGAGAGGCTGCAGCCCAAGGGTGGACGCCAGCAGCCTCCGCGGCCACAGACTGGCCTCTTCCTTCCACAGGGGTCTCCATGTCTCTTTGAGAAAACGACCTCGTTTGGAAATCTCCAGCATGTGTTGTCAGAACAAACAGCAAAGTGGTGACTTTGTTGTGACAGCGTGTGGTGGAGGTCATCCCTGCCTGGAGGGACACGTGGCTCCTAAAGGCCCCTGTCCCCCTAGGCTCCAGCATCACCCCCCCACGCCCACCCCCCACCTTTTCGATGCTTCAGCCAGCACCCACGGTCCCTGTGACCTGACCCCCGTGCCCTCCCCACTTCACAGTGGCTGCCTCCTGGCCAGCCGAGCACTGAGCTGTCCCCTTGCCCTGAGCACCCACCACATCTGGCAAGAGTCCCCCTAATTATAACC